GGGCAAGAGAGGGTGAGAGGGCAAGAGAGGGGTGAGAGGGGAAGAGAGGCTGAGAGTGGAAGAGAGGGTGAGAGGGGAAGAGAGGGTGAGAGGGGAAGAGAGGGGTGAGAGGGGAAGAGAGGGTGAGAGGGGAAGAGAGGGGTGAGAGGGGAAGAGAGGGGTGAGAGGGGGAGAGGGGAGAGAGGGAAGAGAGGGGTGAGAGGGGAAGAGAGGATGAGAGGGGAAGAGAGGGGTGAGAGGGGAAGAGAGGGGAGAGAGGGTGAGAGGGGAAGAGGGGAAGAGAGGGTGAGAGGGGAAGAGAGGGGGGAAGAGAGGGTGAGGGAAGAGAGGGTGAGAGGGGAAGACAGGGTGAGAGGGTGAGAGGGGAAGAGAGGGTGAGAGGGGAAGAGAGGGGTGAGAGGGGAAGAGAGGGGTGAGAGGGGAAGAGAGGGGTGAAGGGGAAGAGAGGGGTGAAGGGGAAGAGGGGGGTGAGAGGGGAAGAGAGGGGAAGAGAGGGTAAGTGGGGAAGAGAGGGTGAGAGGGGAAGAGAGGGGGAGAGGGGAAGAGAGGGTGAGAAGGGAAGAGAGGGTGAGAGGGGAAGAGAGGGGTGAGAGGGGAAGAGAGGCTGAGAGGGGAAGAGAGGGGTGAGAGGGGAAGAGAGGGTGAGAGGGGAAGAGAGGGGTGAGAGGGGAAGACAGGGTGAGAGGGGAAGAGAGGGGAAGAGAGGGGAAGACAGGGTGAGAGGGGAAGAGAGGGGTGAGAGGGGAAGAGAGGGTGAGAGGGGAAGAGAGGGTGAGAGGGGAAGAGAGGGGGAGAGGGGAAGAGAGGGTGAGAGGGGAAGAGAGGGTGAGAGGGGAAGAGAGGGGTGAGAGGGGAAGAGAGGCTGAGAGGGGAAGAGAGGGGTGAGAGGGGAAGAGAGGGAAGAGAGGGGAAGAGAGGGGTGAGAGGGGAAGAGAGGGGTGAGAGGGGAAGAGAGGGGTAAGAGGGGAAGAGAGGGTGAGAGGGGAAGAGAGGGGTGAGAGGGGTGAGAGGGGAAGAGAGGGGTGAGAGGGGAAGAGAGGGGTGAAGGGGAAGAGAGGGGTGAGAGGGGAAGAGAGGGTGAGAGGGGAAGAGAGGGAAGAGAGGGGAAGAGAGGGTAACTGGGGAAGAGAGGGTGAGAGGGGAAGAGAGGGTGAGAGGGAAGAGAGGGTGAGAGGGGAAGAGAGGGGTGAGAGGGGAAGAGAGGGGTGAGAGGGGAAGAGAGGGTGAGAGGGGAAGAGAGGGGTGAGAGGGGAAGACAGGGTGAGAGGGTGAGAGGGGAAGAGAGGGTGAGAGGGGAAGACAGGGTGAGAGGGTGAGAGGGGAAGAGAGGGTGAGAGGGGAAAGAGAGGGGTGAGAGGGGAAGAGAGGGGTGAGAGGGGAAGAGAGGGTGAGAGGGGAAGAGAGGGGAAGAGGGGAAGAGAGGGTGAGAGGGGAAGAGAGGGTGAGAGGGGAAGAGAGGGGGAGAGGGGAAGAGAGGGGTGAAGGGGAAGAGAGGGTGAGAGGGGAAGAGAGGGGTGAGGGGAGGGAAGAGGGGAAAGAGAGGGTGAGGGGAAGAGAGGGGAGAGGGGAGAGAGGGTGAGAGGGGAAGAGAGGGTGAGAGGGGAAGAGAGGGTGAGAGGGGAAGAGAGGGTGAGAGGGGGTGAGAGGGGGGAAGAGAGGGTGAGAGGGGAAGAGAGGGGTGAGGGGAGAGGGGAGAGGGGAAGAGAGGGTGAGAGGGGAAGAGAGGGTGAGAGGGGAAGAGAGGGTGAGAGGGGAAGAGAGAGGGGTGAGAGGGGAAGAGAGGGTGAGAGGGAAGAGAGGGTGAGAGGGGGAAGAGAGGGGGAAGAGAGGGTGAGAGGGGAAGAGAGGGTGAGAGGGGAAGAGAGGGTGAGAGGGGAAGAGAGGGGAGAGGGGAGAGGGGAAGAGAGGGGTGAGAGGGGAAGAGAGGGTGAGAGGGGAAGAGAGAGGGGAAGGGTGAGAGGGGAAGAGAGGGGTGAGAGGGGAGAGAGGGGTGAGAGGGGAAGAGAGGTGAAGGGGAAGAGAGGGGAGAGGGAAGAGAGGGTGAGAGGGGAAGAGAGGGTGAGAGGGGAAGAGAGGGTGAGAGGGGAAGAGAGGGTGAGAGGGGAAGAGAGGGGTGAGAGGGGAAGAGAGGGTGAGAGGGGAAGAGAGGGTGAGAGGGGAAGAGAGGGTGAGAGGGGAGAGAGAGGGGTGAGAGGGGAAGACAGAGAGGGTGAGAGGGGAAGAGAGGGTGAGAGGGGAAGAGAGGGGTGAGAGGGGAAGAGAGGGTGAGAGGGGAAGAGAGGGGTGAGAGAGAGGGTGAGAGGGGAAGAGAGGGTGAGAGGGGAAGAGAGGGTGAGAGGGGAAGAGGGGGTGAGAGGGGAAGAGAGGGTGAGAGGGGAAGAGAGGGTGAGAGGGGAAGAGAGGGGTGAGAGGGGAAGAGAGGGGAGAGAGGGAAGAGAGGGTGAGAGGGAAGAGAGGGTGAGAGGGGAAGAGAGGGTGAGAGGGGAAGAGAGGGTGAGAGGGGAAGAGAGGGTGAGAGGGGAAGAGAGAGGGTGAGAGGGGAAGAGAGGGTGAGAGGGGAAGAGAGGGTGAGAGGGGAAGAGAGGGGTGAGAGGGGGGAAGAGAGGGTGAGAGGGGAGAGAGGGGTGAGAGGGGAAGAGAGGGTGAGAGGGGGGAAGAGGGGAGAGGGTGAGAGGGGAAGAGAGGGTGAGAGGGGAAGAGAGGGTGAGATGGGGAAGAGAGGGTGAGAGGGGAAGAAGGGTGAGAGGGGAAGAGAGGGGAAGAGAGGGGAAGAGAGGGTGAGAGGGGAAGAGAGGGGTGAGAGGGGAAGAGAGGGTGAGAGGGGAGAGAGAGAGGGTGAGAGGGGAAGAGAGGGTGAGAGGGGAAGAGAGGGGTGAGAGGGGAAAGAGAGAGGGGAAGAGGGGTGAGAGGGGAAGAGAGGGGTGAGAGGGGAAGAGAGGGGTGAGAGGGGAAGAGAGGGGTGAGAGGGGAAGAGAGGGTGAGAGGGGAAGAGAGGGTGAGAGGGCATTGGCCTTGATGACCTTTGTCCAGGCCGGCTCATGGTCTCTAATAAATTACCATTGGCTAGTCCAGAGACCACCAGGAATTAGCAACGCGAGGGGGGGGGGGCATGGGGCATAGGAGGAGAGGATGAGGGCAGAGGAGGGAGGGCAGAGGAGCAACACAAGCCAACTACCTAGTCACAATGAGACCGGCTTTACAACACATGTAAACACAAAGCTTCTTTTGCACGAGTTTAGCCCTTTGAAGTAATGAAGGAATCTGGTTTATGAGACTGTGCTGTTCCCACGACTGGAGTGATAAAGAAGGACTGGAGTGGTAGAGAGAGAATGACTGGAGTGGTAGAGAGAGAAGAGCTGTAGTGGTAGAGAGAGAAGAGCTGTAGTGGTAGAGAGAGAAGAGCTGTAGTGGTAGAGAGAGAAGAGCTGTAGTGGTAGAGAGAGAAGAGCTGGAGTGGTAGAGAGAGAAGAGCTGGAGTGGTAGAGAGAGAAGTGCTGGAGTGGTAGAGAGAGAAGAGCTGGAGTGGTAGAGAGAGAAGAGCTGGAGTGGTAGAGAGAGAAGAGCTGTAGTGGTAGAGAGAGAAGAGCTGTAGTGGTAGAGAGAGAAGAGCTGTAGTGGTAGAGAGAGAAGAGCTGTAGTGGTAGAGAGAGAAGAGCTGTAGTGGTAGAGAGAGAAGAGCTGGAGTGGTAGAGAGAGAAGTGCTGGAGTGGTAGAGAGAGAAGAGCTGGAGTGGTAGAGAGAGAAGAGCTGGAGTGGTAGAGAGAGAAGAGCTGGAGTGGTAGAGAGAGAAGAGCTGGAGTGGTAGAGAGAGAAGAGCTGTAGTGGTAGAGAGAGAAGAGCTGTAGTGGTAGAGAGAGAAGAGCTGGAGTGGTAGAGAGAGAAGAGCTGGAGTGGTGGAGAGAGAAGAGCTGGAGTGGTAGAGAGAGAAGAGCTGTAGTGGTAGAGAGAGAAGGACGACCAGATAATTTGTCTGAAATTGGCTGATTGGCTCGTTTAATCCATGGCTGGGTGCTCCCTCCCTCCCTCCCTCTCTGTACATCTCGCACCATGTATTTATTTTTATCTCTCTCTTTAAATTCAATTAAATTCAAGTCAGCTTTATTGGCATTAAGTTACAGATTAACAATATTGCCAAAGCATGTAATTAACATTAAACATACATACATATTATATGAACATTTATCATTGATCTCTCTCTCTCTCTCTCTGTCTTTCTCCCTCTCTCTTTCTCTCTCTGTGTCTCTCCCTCTCTCTCTCTCCCTCTCTCTATCTTTCCCTCTTTCCCTCTATCTGTATCCGTATCTTTCTTTTATTAGAGACTCTGCTGACGTCTGCAGGAATTAGCTGTCCAGCCTCTCACTCTGTTACTCTAACACTCTATTAAAAGATAAAAGGCAGATTAAAAAAGAAAGAGAGATGTAGGAGATGAGAGCGAGGGGGAGAGAGGGGGAAAGAGGATAAGCACAGAGTGACTGTGGGAGAGGAGAGAGAGGGGGAGAGAGGTCAGCACAGAGAGTGACTGTGGGAGAGAGGGGGAGAGAGTTTGGCATGTTGGACTGCAGACAAAAGCATTCCACAGCAGCAATAGTAAACCATAATGGAAACATGCAACAAAGCTTTATAATAGCTAGTTTAGCGCACTGCTATAGGCTACCTGGTCATAACGCTACTGCTAGTTTAGCGCTCTGTGAGGGTGCTGCTATAGGCCTGGACTTAGCACTAATGCTAGTTTTTCTATAAAGGAACTGCTTGGGTACCTCTTTCAAATGGTGCAACTCAGCTAGCTGTCTAAACAGGTACTGCTAGGCTAACTCTCTATAACACTACTGTATATTCCTTTTATTATTTATTCCTTGTATCCACAACATTATTTCTCTTAACCCTTAAAAACTTAACTTTGTATCACTTGTTCTGTGTGTCTAGAACTTTATCTCACTTTTAACCTTTATTACACGAGGAAGGATGATTGAGAACAAATTCTCATTTGCAATGGCGACCTGGGGAGCAGATGGGATTCGAACCCAGGATGTCATCCACACAAAGCATGCACTCTACAACTGAGCTACCGACTGCTCCAACTGCCCTGCTTTATGTATGTCTAACCTATTGAACTATATCGCTTCCCTTATGTATGACTATATTGAACAAGCCATGTCACATTCTTTTTCTCCTTGTGAGGGGGTTGTTGGCTCAGTTTTTATTTTTATTTTTTTCCTTGTAGGTTCCCAGAGATCTGCCCGTGCCTCATTCAAATCCTAGCAGATGAACAGTAACAGTTAGTGAATAGACAGATTAGGGCACAAAGCATTCTGCATCTGGCTGGAAGCACACAGGACCACAGGGCCTCCAGGTTGAGACGAGGGTGCTTCCCAAATGGCTCTGGTTCACTGAATTCTTCCACAGCCTTATGGGTATTAGTGCACTCTGAAGAGAACACAGGGGTGATTTGGGATAAAGAGAGGATTCCAGCCAGCTGCTGCCTGCTGTCAATAACACAACATGACCTAGATTTACTACAACAACCAATCAGCTATCAGGATCTCCCGGGAACAGACGTATACTGGACGGCTGGCTTGTCCACTTAATTCCTTTAACCGGCTCAAAAAAGAAAAGCACAGTTTCATCTGGACGGACGTCGCCCGACTCTTTGGTCATCATCAAAGCACATCAATGATGCTTTGCTTTCTGAAGACATTTGTGAGGTTTTAAGTGTTGTTGGATTGGCTGTCAGAACATATTATTGGTCTTCAGATAGGCAGCCAGAGCACATGTTGTATGGACACTTAGATAACACAAAAGAAGAACTCTTCCTTCTCTTTTTCTATCCTCCTTTATGTCTTAAGGTCAAACCCCAACATGCCGACCAGGACTGGATTATGTCTGGTCAAACCCCAGGATGGACTAGATTAGGTCTGGTTAAACCCCAGGATGGACTAGATTAGGTCTGGTCAAACCCCAGGATCTCTGTCCAAAACCACCACATGTCTCACAGGCATTTCCAGGACATTCCAAAAGCAATGATTCATAAAATAGTGTATGATGGATACATAAGATTCCATACATAACTGGTGTCTACAGCTAAACCATAAACCTCCAAACTCTTTGAGAAGCACTGGAGAGGTCCTAAAGTATCTAATTGTTGGATCAAACCGTTTGTTTTCCTCCAGTTTCGATAATTAAACAGGAATGTCTGTGCGTTGATGCTAACTTGGAGGCGTATTTGTCGTCTGGCAGGGAGGAGGAGGGGTGTGATAGAACGGATAAATAACCGTAATAAGTTCTGGATAAATCCTAGTTAGTATAAACCTCACAGACTGTCAGCCAACATGTTAGCACTTGGAGTCCCTTCTGAAGGACCATCCAAATCTAACCTAATTCATGTGCTTATTTAATATTGTAGACGTTAGATGAACCATGAAACATCTTGCACATTGTTGTAATTGTTACACACACACACGCATACACAGTTATACACACACACACGCATACACAGTTATACACACACACACGCATACACAGTTATACACACACACACGCATACACAGTTATACACACACACACATACACAGTTATACACACACACGCATACACAGTTAGTTATACACACACACACGCATACACAGTATATACACACACACACGCATACACAGTTATACACACACACACACAGCATACACACACACACAGTTATACACACACACACACAGTTATACACACACACACGCATACACAGTTATACACACACACACGCATACACAGTTATACACACACACACGCATACACAGTTATACACACACACACGCACACACAGTTATACACACACACACGCATACACAGTTATACACACACACACGCATACACAGTTATACACACACACACGCACACACAGTTATACACACACACGCATACACAGTTATACACACACACACACACACACAGTTATACACACACACACGCATACACAGTTATACACACACACACGCACACACAGTTATACACACACACACACACAGTTATACACACACACACGCATACACAGTTATACACACACACGCATACACAGTTATACACACACACACATACACAGTTATACACACACACACGCATACACAGTTATACACACACACGCATACACAGTTATACACACACACACGCATACACAGTTATACACACACACACGCATACACAGTTATACACACACACGCATACACAGTTATACACACACACACGCATACACAGTTATACACACACACGCATACACAGTTATACACACACACGCATACACAGTTATACACACACACGCATACACAGTTATACACACACACGCATACACAGTTATACACACACACGCATACACAGTTATACACACACACACATACACAGTTATACACACACACACGCACACACAGTTATACACACACACACATACACAGTTATACACACACACACATACACAGTTATACACACACACACGCATACACACACACACGCATACACAGTTATACACACACACACGCATACACAGTTATACACACACACACGCATACACAGTTATACACACACACACGCACACACAGTTATACACACACACACGCATACACAGTTATACACACACACGCATACACAGTTATACACACACACACGCATACACAGTTATACACACACACGCATACACAGTTATACACACACACACGCACACACAGTTATACACACACACACACACACACATACACACACAGTTATACACACACACGCATACACAGTTATACACACACACACACATACACAGTTATACACACACACGCATACACAGTTATACACACACACACGCATACACAGTTATACACACACACACGCACACACAGTTATACACACACACACGCATACACAGTTATACACACACACACGCATACACAGTTATACACACACACACGCACACACAGTTATACACACACACGCATACACAGTTATACACACACACACGCACACACAGTTATACACACACACACGCACACACAGTTATACACACACACGCATACACAGTTATACACACACACGCATACACAGTTATACACACACACACGCATACACAGTTATACACACACACACGCACACACAGTTATACACACACACACACACACAGTTATACACACACACACGCATACACAGTTATACACACACACACGCACACACAGTTATACACACACACACACACAGCACACACAGTTATACACACACACGCATACACAGTTATACACACACACACGCATACACAGTTATACACACACACACGCACACAGTTATACACACACACACGCACACACAGTTATACACACACACACGCATACACAGTTATACACAGTTATACACACACACACATACACAGTTATACACACACACGCACACACAGTTATACACACACACGCATACACAGTTATACACACACACACACACACAGTTATACACACACACACGCACACACAGTTATACACACACACGCATACACAGTTATACACACACACACACACAGTTATATACACACACACAGCATACACAGTTATACACACACACACGCATACACAGTTATACACACACACACGCATACACAGTTATACACACACACACGCACACACAGTTATACACACACACACGCACACAGTTATACACACACACACACAGTTATACACACACACGCATACACAGTTATACACACACACGCACACACAGTTATACACACACACACACGCACACACAGTTATACACACACACACGCACACACAGTTATACACACACACACGCACACACAGTTATACACACACACACGCATACACAGTTATACACACACACACGCACACAGTTATACACACACATACACAGTTTATACACACACACGCATACACAGTTATACACACACACGCATACACAGTTATACACACACACACGCATACACAGTTATACACACACACACGCATACACAGTTATACACACACACACGCATACACAGTTATACACACACACACACGCATACACAGTTATACACACACACACGCATACACAGTTATACACACACACACGCATACACAGTTATACACACACACACGCATACACAGTTATACACACACACACGCATACACAGTTATACACACACACACGCATACACAGTTATACACACACACACGCACACACAGTTATACACACACACGCATACACAGTTATACACACACACATACACAGTTATATACACACACGCATACACAGTTATACACACAGTTATACACACACACACGCACACACACACACACGCACACACAGTTATACACACACACACGCATACACAGTTATACAGTTATACACACACACACACACACGTTATACACACACACACGCATACACAGTTATACACACACACACGCACACACAGTTATACACACACACACGCATACACACACACACACGCACACACAGTTATACACACACACACGCACACACAGTTATACACACACACACAGTTATACACACACACACGCATACACAGTTATACACACACACACGCATACACAGTTATACACACACACACGCATACACATACACAGTTATACACACACACACACACAGTTATACACACACACACGCACACACAGTTATACACACACACACGCATACACAGTTATACACACACACACGCACACACAGTTATACACACACACGCATACACAGTTATACACACACACACGCACACACAAGTCATGTGTGATTTAATGCCTGTTCTCACTAACAGCAGAAAGGACCGGACTGCCTCTGTCATTAAAAACATTTGCATTTCGCAGAATGAAACATGACTACAGAAAACACTGTGGAGTGGCCCAAATGTAATTTGCCCTAAATGCCAGATGGCCAGCATGTCCTTCTCCTGACCATGGCCTGATGGAGCCCTGGCATTACTGGTACTACCTCTGGCACTACTGGTACTACCCCTGGCACTACCCCTGGCACTACCTCTGGCACTACCTCTGGCACTACCTCTGGCACTACCTCTGGCACTACTGGTACTACCCCTGGCACAACCTCTGGCACTA